AAAGGATATTCAGAAAAAATAACAAAATATAATTTCCAGAGTCCCTGAAGCAAATCAACATAGCTTTTAGATTATTATTTGGCCAAGACTATCTCCTTTTTCCTTCTCATATAACAAAAAAGATCACTCAAGTAATTTATAGCTATTAGGTATGTTATCCCAATTTTACGTTGAGTATCATATTGTATTAATAAAGTATACATGTGTTCAGCATGTAATAGTTCCAAGAACCTTCTCATCTTTCTACATTCTTACAGCCATCTGTGAAGCACGTAGGCTCATTTCACTGTGAAGAAGATTGAGTCTTAGACAGAGTAAGCTGCCTTCCATGGGAATACACACAGGTCAAGTGCCAATTTGGACTTGTGCCTCCTGATTCTGGGTCAACATTTTTTTCACTCTACAAGATGCTTTCCATAGGGATGAAGTTGTGTATTTTGTAGATATAAATGTGTAGAAGAATGTTGCAAAGGAGAAGTGGGTTTGTATCTCTTTTATGTGAATCCAGGCAGGCTACTTAAGTAGTCTGAGCCTCAATTTCTTCCTGCAAACAAAAGGCAATAACTCCTGATTTCACTTTTCCAGGGTCACAGGGAAATGGACCTTCCTAATGATACTTGTTGAGTCTCATTATGTAAACACTAAATGCTATGTATTTGTATGTCTTTTCATCCACTGAGCCTTTGGGAGAGCCATGTTCTGAATTTATTTATATTTTCTATAAAGATGCAGTAGCTCTGATGGGAGATGTACAAAGAGTATTAATATTCATAATGGATCATCTTTGGAAACATATGTCTTTGGGGTTAAAGCTGTATTAAGAGAAGGCTGGACCTATGGATAGCTAGGAGATAGTCTGAAGGTTACAGATGGTGTCATGTTTCTCAGGAGACCAAGTTAAAAATCTTCTTGTAGCTCCTGTCTTAGAACAGATACCAAAGTCTTATGTTCCCTTTAAGATTTGGTGTAAGTAGGCTCTAGTATCTGCCTGTGTGGGTCTGAGTTCAGGTTCTCCTCAAACCGCTTGACTCTTTTCCTTAACAATAAAATGGAGATGACAGTAGTCAATGAGTTTCATAATTCTGCCATGAAAAGTTATTACCACCTTACATGTTAAAAATGACACCTGATATTATTATTACCTCATAGTTCTGAATATAAAAATCAAGACCAAACTCAAGAGATTGCAATAAATGCATTCTTTTTAAAAAGTTCTTCTTTCTCATTCAGGCTCAATATAGTACCTTCTGGCTACAGAATTGGGCTCCCCATTTCCTTGATGGCTCCCCAATATCTTGAGTCTACCTTCATATTCAAATTATCTCCAATCTTCTTGCACTGGATTGCCTGTCTTCTCCCTTTCTTGCCTTTCTCATGCCAATTGGAGAAAACTGGCAGTTAAGGTTCCGTTAGTAGACAGATCCTACTCAGAGTCTTGTGATTTTCATTGTATTTTGTAAGTCCTTTCTGTCATATAATGCAATAAATCAACACTCTCAAATTTAGAGTGTAAACATTTTCTTGGGGGAGGTATGAAATACAAATTCTGCCTGTAATGAGTATTCTTAGTTCCTGCTTTATAAAGTCATTGTGAAAATTGAGGGACCTACCCATGTGTATCTAATGAAAGCCAACTTAAGTAGCCTCTAGTCTCCATTTTTAACATGACCTTATGAGTCTTTAGTAGGATAAAATGATTGATACTCTTGTTCTAAACATGGGGCTAGCTATTTATATAAAGGGTCTTGGCTCCTTTCTAATGCAAATGGACAGTGTCCTGTCTGAGACCCAGATCTGGGATCCACTTAAAACCCTGTAATTCTACTTATGTTGGGGTAGATGGTGACTCTTCTTTGGTGTTTCATTCTGTCCTTTATGAGCCCCCTATCCTACTCCCTGGATGGATACTTCATACTTCCTAATCCTGCTGCTTGCAATAACCAGGGCTCCTTGAGACTCTTCATCTTTACTTGAAGCAGACAGTCCAGAGACAACTTCACTCTTTCCTCTTCCCCCTTTAATCCAGACCTCCTTGCTTATCTATGGGCTTCTAAGGTAATGTGAGGTCATTTCTGTTCTGTGTCGTAATATGAAAAGTGCAATTATATCTGTCAATAAATACATTGGCTGATTTCATGCAGAAGCCATTGTCCATCTCATCAGGTGGCTTCTGCCCAGGTAGGGATGCTATGTTTACATATTTTGTTCTGGGAAATACTTGTAATGCAAAGTTCACAGGCCATTTTACAGTTTGCACTCAGTCTAGGCAGTCTTCCGAAAGAAAGAGATATTAATGTAGCATCAGATTTTGTAGCTCTAAGGGACAAGAACTCTGTGGGAGTCAGAGTCAGAAGAACAGGACAAGAGTGAAGATGAAGGAATGGTTTCATGTTGACACTGAATCCTGGAGGCTCTGATTTATTTGGTATTTGTGAAGTAAAATTCAAGATGTTGTTTATGGCTGATCGAAGCCTGTGTCCTACCATGCTTTATGATCTCAAGTGAACAAAGGAGAGAAATGTCCTCCAAGGAATTTTGAACAGGTGGTTTGAAAACTATGAACATTAATCTAGTGGAGAAAAGTATCTGTTTGATGGTAGAATCATTACATTGTCTGGGGTCATGGATTTGAGCATATTTTAGCAGTTTCTAAAAGAAGCTTAGACTGTACTGTTTATTTCAAAAAATATTCTATTGTTCAAATGTACCAGACACTGAATAAGAGAACTGTTTATGCTGCCATGTCCAGAGAATCCTGGGAAAAGATGAATCATTCTGAACTGACCAAGGCTGGTTAGCAGAAAGGTCCAACATAGTCGATGGCCTTTGACGGCAAAGAGTTTTGATAAGGACACATGGTACATGCTTTGGAAACTGAGTTCTTAGTCCTTAAAGTCATGACTTGGACATTTTAGACAGGAAAAATTTCTGGATGCCCTTTATTAATAATCTCTTTAATTTGCTCTTGCTAGTGGGAATCTCCAAGTCTACCCCAATTCTCAGACTGCTTACAAATGCTCGTGAGTCAAGTCTAACTGTATATCAGTTTGGAAAAATGTGGTCTCAGACAACTGCATTCAAAGAAGCACAATGTACATTCCCATGTTAGTTTATGAGTGCATATTATACATATGGCCTTAAGTCTGGATTAGCTTAATGTAGAGATGTATGCTTCAGTCCCACCTACTATGGGGCCTGCGGCAGGAGGCTTGTTGAGCTTAGAAGTTTGAGAATAATATGGGCAGCATAGTAACCTGTCTCAAATAACAATCAAAACTGTACTACCATAGCCTTAAACACCTTAGTGCGCTGCATATGGCATGAAGATACATCTATAAAATAATGCTACTAAAATGTTGCTCATCTCATCCTTGTAAAACTCTAAAATCTTCCTGCTAACTTTTGCATTATCGTTGTTAACATGAGTGCTCTGTACCTCAGAGATCTGCTGTACCTTCTAGATAGACCTGCTGGATATGTAGAATCTATTTATTCACTCGTTCCAAAAACACTTAATAAATTATATATTCTAGATGGACTGAATACTGCTTAATTCAACTGATTTAAAACCCTAGTGCAAAGTCTGGAAATGAATAGGATCCTATGCTTGTTGGTATTTTGCTTAAATATGTCTTGGGTTTTTAAGTAGCACAGAAGAACTGGAGTTGAATATGCCAAGAAACCACTAAATTAAAAAAAATCTAATTTAAAGTTCTCATTTAAAATGAATTAGCACCGACAACAGACATGGATTGTTTGGCACTAGTCTTCCAGCATACCATTCAACTGTGCAGTTCTCATGGAATCTCAGCCAGAGCGTCTCATTTATGTGTCTAGATCTGAGTTTTGAAAATGCCAAGAAGTGGTGTGGTTTTAGATTGGAAGAATATATAAGTTGTTGTCCCAGTTGGGTCAATTATCAGACTGTATGAGGTAGTATTAATACCTACTCTGGGGTAATGGGTACAAAAGGGACTCTCTGAGGCAAACAGGGTCCTGTAGTCACCTGATAAGCAGGAAGAGACCAGAGTGAGAATCAAGAACTATCACATATTGGCTGTCTATCTGCAAGTCATTTCCATTTATAGCTACAGTCAAATGGAAAGCAAATGGCAGCATTAAACAAACCCCACTGTTACCTTCAATCTCTACCATTATCTATATACAAGAAAACATTCAAGTTATATTTTTTTGGAGCAGCGTCAGACCAAGAGAAAACTGTCTGGACAAACATATGAAATTCCCCTCCTCCTGCTTTCAAATTTCATGGTCATAAAAGTGTAAATCATATTTAAAATAAATCATTACTCGCTTGCTTCTGCTTTGGCAAAACTTTCTTACTAACTATCTAAATGTGTTGAGAGAAATTCTGATTATCCATCTGGGTCCAGCAGAGACCAGGGCCCAGATCAATCATTCATGTCTTCTGAGCTTATGGGAACAACAGAGAGAAGCAGGGAGGAAGAGTGGAGTTACAGTGTGTGCTGTGTGGGGCTTGGTTTGAGTCACAGACAATCCCATAAATTTTCTTCTAATTTTCACCATCTTTCATATGAACTCAAGAGTGGAGCAGAAGCTTCTCGACCCGAGATGTATAGTCACATCAATAGGACCTCTGGGGCTGGATATCAGCTATTGGACATGCTCTTACTAGACTCTATGTCAGTGTGAAGCTGGGATAGAGAACCCACAATTCAGAGACTACCATGAGTATCAGGTCTCAGTTGGCTGTTGTCAGAGAGAACCGCACAGTAAATGACCAGGAAACAAATGAACATGGCTCTTTCATACACCAGCAATCACAGTTGACATGAACCAGGCAGCCAAATTCTCCATCACCAATTGAACCCTTTGTCTCAGTTGTTCACTAAAATAATTTTCTGAACAAAAGAAACCATGGACATAATTTATTACTCCCTGGATCTATTTTTGCATAGCTTCCGTTTTTCTCTTTAGCAGATATTTGCACATTGTTGCTAGTCAGTAACTTTACATCTCACCTGAGTGACAGCAACATTTGTTCCATCGGTGACCTCCACACTCATGTTGTAGACCGACCTTTGTTCTGCATCCAAAGGCTTCGCAATGACAATTGTTCCAACACCCTTCTCTGCATCAAAAGAGCTGTCAAAATTCCCCCCTGATGATTTCACAGAAACAACACGAAATTAGCACATCTGAGAAGGTATTAAGTATATGGAAGCATATATCTTCATAGGGTGCTTTTATATAGATATATTTTCTGGCAGGCGTCCCCATGGCTTAATTTCATAAATCTTCAATGGGGCTTTACTATTTGTAACTTAATTTATATTTCAAAAGCCATCCTCTATAAGCATAACAAATGACACAAAAAACAATGTATTGTAAATAAAAACCTCAGCAGTAATGTCAGAGTAGTGGAGCATACGCTGATCCATAAAACACTGAGCAGACTAATAGCCCTCCCCAACCCCTCTTAGCCGCCATGCTGGGAACCTGGGGAATAATTTAGCTTTTTCTCTAATAGAATACATTCTAAATGATAAAAAAACCTATTCCAATTACAGTGAATACAAATTGTTGGTAAACATTTGGCTGGTTAGAATTCAGTGTCCCTCAATTAGATGTCAGAAATAAAATTATGACTACAGGAAGATAAGAAAAATGTAAAAAATGAATTTGACATAAAAAATCTCTCTGAGTACTGCAATAATTAGAGAAACGTTTTTGGCTTTTTGGCAGTGTAAATTCACTTTCTTCCAAGAGGCTGCTGATTTCACAACACATTGACATAAACTCTGAGAGGTAGTGCTATATATTGCTAATATAACACCAGCGAACTTCTAAGGAAATTTACACAAAGGTTTAGAAAAATTGTCATCTATCTTTTCATTTTAAATGACATACTTAAGATAGCATTAGAATTGTGAACTTTTATCTTCGAATAGAAGTGTCACTTATAAACTTGCCAAATTAGATATGTTTTTAAAGTGGGAGAAAAGATAATGGTCTAAGCATTGAAAAATGGTTTAATTAAATGTCAGTATATGTTCCCCATCACTATTTATTTTTGTCTGAAAATGCATGTGTGAAATACATTTGGTTTCAGATGGTAATTTCATTTAACTTTGGTATGTAGGGCAATGTATCTATTGAATTTCATAGTTTAGAAAAGAAAATGTTGGCTTTTCTTATTTCCTAGCCTTTGTACTTTATTTTTCTGGCCCTTGAGCACTATGTTTTCATGATTACAATATTACAATATTAAGTGGATGGATGAGTGAGGGGATGAAGAGTCACACATTATGACTGGCATTTGTCCTACAGTGACAAAAATAAATAATACGGTTTACTTTCTAAAAATGTAGTCATGTATATTCTAAGTACCAACTGCTTGCAGATACCATGTTCACTTAGGATTATTTAATTACTGGAGAGAACATAATTGCCTTTGACATTTAATTAAAGCTGTGGAGATACAGGGGTACCAGAAAATTGCGTAGAGATGATATATGTTCTCAAAAATTTCATTTAAAGAGACTCATCTTCCAATTAATGTCTTTAATTGATTTACTGAAAAGCACGAGATGCTAAGTCCAAAAAAGGGTTTTGAGGGCTCAGAAGAAGAAGAAGGGGTTCCTAGCCTGTGAAGAGAAGTGTGTCTTAGAGGGGTGCTTCTTACTGAAGAGAATGTGTCCTTGATGCACATGTTAAATAAAACAGAAAGCTGGTATGGGTGACGTGGGTGACATGGGTGGTATGGGCAGTGTGGGTGGCGTGGGTAACAGTCATCTTAAATAGCAAGGCAAATCATTCACCTTTAATAGGTAAATGCTGGGGAAAAGAAACAAAACAAAACAAAACAAAACTGACCAACCAACCAAAACCTTTGCCATGCCTCGAAGAAAGGCAATAGCAACCTGTGAAGACAAGGAAGCAACTTCTCAAGTTGCTTCTGGAGAGTAATAACTCACGGTCCCAATCACAGGGCAACCAACTTTAGACTTTCTGCCCCGATTTCCAGTGCTACTTAATTTTGTAAATATAAAGACAGACTTTTATTTTAAGTTGTTTTTGGGGGGATAGTGTTCACTTTCCAGGGTCAGTTATTCAAAAAGGCAAACATTTGTGGGTCAAGGAAAAGAATTGTGCAAATTATTCTCTGTAGATGAATGGAGATGAATATTAGAGAAAACACAGGTAACATCTTCCAATTTCAGCTCTCATATTCACTGATTATGACCCTTTAAAGTCTGTGCAAAAATACGCTGTCACTCCACCTGTATAACAGTGTAACATTTACATATTTATATGGTGTTGATTGTATGCTTTTTCATAGTTTTTGTTCTTGTTAATACTCTGGCAACTTTTGCAAGTTTTAGTTTTTATAATCCTCTCTCTCTCTCTCTCTCTCTCTCTCTCTCTCTCTCTCTCTCTCTCGGCATGTATATGCCATGTGTGTATTCACTTATTTCATTTGTCTTTGCTGTGTTAAATACACCAGATGAGAAACTTCCAACTTCATAGGAGAGAGAGAGAGATCATTAGCATCTTTTATACCTTTTCCCACCCACTAATGGGGCCAGTACAATATGATACTCATTTCTAGAACATTTGTTCCTAGTTAAGCCAAGATTTCATTTAAATCAAAATCTTCCCAAGTTTTCAAATGAATTTCTGACAAGGGACACAGAATCTAGACCAGCAGTTCACCATCGACCACCACACAATTTAATAACCCACACTGAAGCATCCTAGTTCATAACCGACTCCATGCCTTTCCCCCAGGTCTTGTTTTCCCGGGCTCCCTTTTAGCCTGAAAGGTGATTTCAATTTTGTGGGAAAACAAGTCCAAATCATCTGGGGTGAGACTATCAATCAAATACAAGGAGTCCGACTTCACTGTCGGCATTCTGTTTAAACAAGATGTGCTTCCTCAGAGCCAGTAACAGAACATGCAAAGCCAGAGTGTGTTGGGTGCAACAGCATGAGGCCAAATAAAAGGTGGGCAGAGAGGAACACTGCAGCGCTGGCCCGAATCCCAGCAGGGTAGGGTTCAGAAATGTCACAGCCTATGCATTGCTGCGGGGGTGTGCGGCAAAGATAGTTAAAAGCGAGGTTGTGAACAGCCCACACGACAATAATTCACATTAGGACATTCCACTTGGACCAGTTTTGGTCAAGATTTGTGTCATGGAATTAAGAAAAGAGCAGAAGAGGCACACTGGACTTCTGATACAATATTATAAAATTTAATGCATCGAGGAGGGGGTTCCTGAAAAGGCTCTTGAAATAGGACATGAATAAAAACAGTGCTGGCCACCATCTATGGCCCACTTCACTGGGGGAATGACTGAGTTGAGCTTTTCTTTAAAGGTGGGTATTCCATTGGAGATTTGAGATTTTTAGATTACATCATCTCTCAGTCTCAAAAGGCTAGACACTCCTGACCGAGGAGAAAGCTTCTTCTGGTGTCATTTCTGCTAAGAGACTCAGTGATAAAAAATGTTTCTCCTGTAGAGAAGCGTTCAGGTTCTTCCTCTAGAAACTAACTTCACTCTTGCACATGTAATTGTAAAAATACCGACCCAAATCTAGTAGTCACCAGGGGGAGGTGTGACTGAGACGCTTCCAAGACACTGAGCAACTGAATCTCAATGAACGAAGGGAGCTGTGCACAAGCTGTTCGTTCGAGTTCAGCATGTATACCCAACTGAAGGAAAGACGTTCAGTGCCAGTTATGGTGTGATGATGAATAATTTTCTGCCTTGAAATGAAGCAAGCACACAGCAGGCTGATATTTAAATGGAGGGCAAGAGCTGGACGGCAGGAAAGGGTAGTAGGAAAGAATAATAGAAAACCCTAGACTTTAGCCCAAGGTTCCTTTTCTTAAAATAATTAATATGAGGTATTTTGGGCCTTTATTATTTTTCTAAACTTTCTGCAGTATGATTCCATAAATAAGATAATACTAAAAAGAAAAGCAAGTCCTGTTTGAGATCAAGTTAGGGCATGAAAGCAGATTAGGGAATGGAGTGTTTGATGTGCCTTGACTAGCTGAGCAGAATATACTCTGTTGGGGGAGCAGGTGAGTTGTAAATAGATAGGTCTTCTCTAAATACAGCCTAGATGAGAGGTGGTGATGGAGAAATGTGGCTGCCAGGTTAGGAAAGATGCAGAGGTGCCCACGCTCTGAGGTGTGCCCAACCTCATGCTGACTGAGGGCCAAGATAGCCCTTGTCCACCTTCCGCACAGAAAGATGGCTGAGAGGCTAGCACAGAGGACATTTAGAGATTCATACCCTTTCTGCTTCCTGACACAGCAAGGCAAACCAGGGTAGTTCACGTGCTTCCTATTTGCAAGGTGAACCATGTTTTTATGATGATTCAGGTAAAAAGTATAGTCAGGTAAAAACTGGAAGGCAGCATGGCTCAGTTTTGAATACAGAGTTGTTAATGATGGCGGCCTTTATAATTCAAATATTTGCGATCAGGATATGATTCAGGAGCTGAGCTGGGAACCAGATTGCTTGCACATTGGAGGTATGTAAATCAAGGAATGGCTGAGGAGATGGGCAGAGCCTCCTGAGAAGTGTGAAGATACATGACAAAGCCGCAAAGGATTGTGGATTATTTTTGTTCCCTTCATTTTCTTTCCCTTTTAACAAGGAAAGGAAACATGCTGTGTGTTGGGCTGTTTAAATCCACAACAGCTGAACTTTATTATGTTGCCTTTTAATTACAGCTTTCTTAGCTTGGTTATAAGTAAGGCTTGTTTCTGGGAGCAGAAGGGTCTAGCTAGAGGAAACACAGTCTCTTTAGAGTTTAGAAAAACACAAGTGTTTAGGCTTTGGGACAAAATGCTGCTCACATGGTGTTCCTGTGACTTCATGTTCTGGTAGGAGGCAAGGAAATTCAGTCAAAATCAGAGTCCTGTATGTTTGTAAATGTGCAAGTGAGAACAGGCTCCCAAGGGAAAAGGCAGGCTGAAACACCATCTTTGTTTACTGAATGAGGTTTCACCAGGTTGAGCAGTTTAAAGATGGACATGGCAGATGAGGATGTTATGCCCTGGGCTTCTCACTGTGTTCTTCCTGAGTATCCAAATACGCTAGGTCTATGGTGCAAACTCAGGTTGACTTATTCTTTACAAGAGGATTTGGGCAAAACTTGAAGCAGGATCCGAGGCTGCATTTCCTATCCATGCTGACCTTCCTTACCTCATGTTTATTTTCTGTCTCCCTGCAGAACTCACAGATGGGTATTATGTGCTAAGGGACATTGCCCACTCCTAGTTCCCTCTGTGCTAGTTTGATCAAGGATGATGCTTAGGCAAGGAGGAAAGGAAGATTCACAAGAGGTGAATTTTGACAGTGAAGATGAAACACCTGAAGATGATAAAGCAAACAAAAGGTTTTAAAAGAAGGAAAAGGATGTCAGCACAGTGGGTAAATTATGACTCTGGCAGACAAACCATGTTTTTAGGAGATTTGATAAAGGTGATCGCCTCTACTGCAAACCACCAGCACCTGGGAAAGGACTCAAAGTTCTACAGTGAAGTAAAAAGTTGGCATTTCAGGATGTTGTTGGCTGAACCTGGGGATGGAAATAAAATCATTATCTGTTTGGGCAGGAGGCCCAGTAACTTCAATTTGTAGAAGAAATTTAGCAATCTGTTACCAGATTCAGAGAAATGTCTGTGATGGAGGATTCCAGATCAGGGGACAGTCCTGGGAGTCTTCATTGAAAAAACTACTCTCATTCACAAAGTAGAATGGATGAAGTGGGGGTTGGGGGATAAGCAGAATCTGTGAAGAGAAGAGCAGTGCTTAGGAGCACAATGATAAAGAGCCATGATAGCTACGGCCACACTTTGCATATGGTTCCTGGATTATGTGTAGATGCCAGAAGGGAAGCTCTCTATAAACAGCTTTCTCCTTGGACTGGTGAGGCTATTGAGGCTGGGGTAAAATGGAATGTCATGGACCCTCTGTGGAGCTAGGGGGCTACTACAATGGAGTTAATATGGTTGCTTGAGGAATCAGTACCAGTCTCTGTATCTTAGTTCACTCACCCTGAGTAAAAAGCAACATAAACTCCAGCAAGAGCAAGGACGGAGACATGAGCTTTGACCTCAAGGGTGAAGAATGGAGATGGGGTATGCATGAAGGAAAATGTACAGTAGTACCGATAACATAATGTGAAAGACTTGTGAGTAATTGGACACCTAGTGCTCCTAGCAGCTTGCTAGCCTACACCTAGACATACTTGTAGAGATGCTAAAGAATTGCAAACTGACCTGAGGACTCAGAATCAGGTAGCATCAGAGAAAGGTGTGCTAGTGAGACTTCCTGTGCATTGGCAGCTTGGGCAAGTAACAGCAAGCTCTGTCAGTCAGCAGAGATGCTTTGCAAAGTGAGTTGGTGAAGGGATGACCAAAGACGTCCAGGCAGGCAAAAGACAACTAACTGGTACTATGTGCAATGTTTCCTCGAATAAAGAAGAGTCTGAATATATATATTATATATAATAACTGAATAAGCCAGAAACTACTGAGATGGTGGTAGAAACATTTCTCATGGGTTAAAAGATGTTCTATCTCAGATACGCTGACAGACAGGAAGAAGAATTTGGAAGAACGGTCATATGAAAAGATGGTGAGATTAATCCCAATTAACTAAAACTTGTGTTTTACAGAAAACGTAGAGGCAAGCCCTTAATTGTTGGAAATTCAGAGGACTCTCTGAGGTTTGACTGGGAGACACAGAACATTCTTTTTCTATGCTTCATGAAACCAGATGTGGAGTCTTCTAAATGCTTTCCCCAGACCCAGCTGTCTGAAGGGGAGGTAGGTTGCTGCCTATCCTGTTCAGGCATCATGAGGAAGGAAATGATTCTCCCACACAAGTGCTCCTCTGGCTTATTCCCTGCTCATAGAGAACCCTGGGAAGTGGGCTCTAGTTCAGCCCTGATCAGCCCCTGGCAGGCACACGCTCTCCTCCCTCTTTGACAACAGCCTGTTTTATTTCCCTGTCCTACACACGTTTCCTCTCCAGAACTCTCCCTGCAGGTTTGTGGAAGGGGTGTTTTGCCCTTTTCCTTTTGCAGCCTGGCGTGCTTGCTTGCTTTCATTCAAGGAATTTAAAAGTTGGCTCCTTGGGTCTGCCCTACCTGCTTCCTTCCATCTGCTTTCTCTATTCAGGGTGAGTGGGGGCTTTCTGGCTACACATCTAGGTTCTATTTCCTGCCCTTCCTTTTGTGGACAGCATCCAGGGGACTTGCCTGGTGAGGCTTTTTGGTCTGTGAATGACACTACTGCAGAAAAGCAGGGGGGCTGGAATTACATTTTCATTTATTTTCAGTTGGAAAAGTCCCAGTTAAATAAACCATCCTACAAAACAGATAAAAACAAAACAACCACAAAACCCCATATACCTCAAAAGCAATGGGAGAAAAATCAAAACAACCACCCACCCCATATAATCTCAAACAAAGAAGTCATTGGACATGAGAAATGAGGTTGCTGTTAGAGGCATGTATGAAACCTGTGGGCTGCACTTCAGTCTGTCACAGGCAGTTATGAAAGATGTAATTCAATTTGTTAAAAAAAAAAACGTAAAAGGCAGATTGGATAGCTGTACTTTAGCAAATGTGTTCGCACTAAGGGTACCTTCTGTTGAACAGTTCTGCCCACAAGCTGTCTGTAGAATATAGAACATCTCTCGAGCATGCTTGCCACCTTGAAGCAGGGCAGTCGGGAGCAGAAAAAAAAACAGAATGCAGAAAAAAAGGTGAAGAAAAAGAGAGAAATGAAGGACAGCAAGTCTAGTACCATCAATACATTTAGAAATGAGATTAGCCAAGTGTGACAATAGAATTAAAATGACACACAGAAGGACAGTAAGGTTGCAGTAAACCACGTACTATGGAGAAATCCAGCCAGAGAGCACTTTCTGTTCAGCTTAGCTACAGAATCGAAAGCACAGGTTGGTTTTTCATTTTACTGGCTCTTTTGCATTCCAGCACTATTTTTAATCTTAGGTTTAATTGCTAGCTTTTCATTTTTTCTTTTGCCTTTTAAATTTATTTATTTATTTATTCATTCATTCATTCATTCATTATTTATTTATTTATTTACTTGTTTGTTTGGCAAGTTCCTTCAAACAGTTAAGTCCATTTCCAGATCCACTCTAGAGACTTGAACTTACCGACGATGTCAAACCACAGAGGGGTGTTAGCTGGCTGCACAGACACCACCCCTACAATCTCTGTTACTTTGTCACTCTCCATGACGGTGAAGTTGTAAAATGGTTCATCGAATGTCAATGGTATAGGTGAAGGCGGGGGCTTCTTAATCCATTCGATGTGGAGGCGGGCAGTGGAGGATTTCTGTGGGCGGCCATTGTCCACAGCCTTGATCTACTCCCATATGGGGGGAACACAGAAAGACAGCTTAGTGCTCTGAGTCTGTGGAAGGCTTTCACTCACACAGTAACAAGCCAAAAGACCAGTTTCTTCACAGTGTCACGAGAAGAAAAGTTGTGTCCAGTTGAGGCTCCAGAGTGGACTCTGGAGTGGAAACAGTGCAAACAGGGCTCACACACTATGTCTGCCAGAAGCCAACTTTTGAAATGTGAAACCATAAAGTTTAAATGTTGTACTTACAATTCATAATATTTCAGGGGCAAGAATAATAGTTTGTGTAGAAATAGCTAACTTAATTCCTCATAGCATGATTCTGAACCTCATCTCTAATGAGAGCTGAGGGGAATGAAGTACAATGTGAGATCTTATTTGTGTGTTAGGATGTATGAGCACATGTATACATGAGCATGTATGTGTATGTGAATTTATGTATGTGTGAGTGGAAGTATATTGTGTGCATATATATATATATATATATATATATATATATATATATGTACAAGTTTGTGAGTGTAAGTTTGTGTGCATGCACTGAGTTTGTGCATTTATATGTGAGTCCATATGTGAATATGTGTAACTATATTATGTATGTGCATATGCGGTTGTATATGTGAGCTGTACATGTGTGTAAGCATATGTATGAGTGTGTGTAATATGTGGTAATACACATGCATGTGTGGGGGAATATGTGTGCAACTGTGAATGCACTTGTGTGATCAAATGCATTTGTGTGCATGTGTGTGAGTGCATGCACGTCTGTGTCCATGTGAGTGTGAACATATGAATCTGTATGTATGCATATCACAGTTTCTTCTACTTTCCACTAGATATATACTGCCTGTTATGTTCAACACCTTAAGAATGAGTTAGGATGAGCCCAGGATGTGTGGTTGTGTGTCTCCAGCAGGCCATAGAATCAGTGAAAGTTTGCTGATAGGACACAATGAAGGAAACTCTCACTATTTAGAACATCACCCAGGAAGTAGATGTTCACCTATAACTAGCTCCCTGAAAGCAGTCTTCTGCAGCTACTTCTGCACATTAACATTAGAGATTTATTAATCAAAGAAATAGGCATGACTAAGAGGGCTCACCCCTACCCCAGTGATACTCGGGAATTAGATCTTACCGTCAGGATGTCATAACTTCCTGCTGTGAATTGCTTTCTGGAAGAGACCATGCCAGTTTTGGGGTCAATGAAGAACTTCCCATCATCATTTCCGTCCACAATGCTGTAGGAGATTTCTGCATTGGGGCCTTCATCTCTGTCAAATGCAAAAGCCCTGTAAATGGGTTCACCCCTCTTCTTGCGGTCACGTTCTGGAAGCTTAATCTGGTAGACCTTCTCAGGGAACTGGGGCTTGTTGTCATTTTCATCCAGAACCTGAACCACCACCCAAATGGTTGACTGTTTTGGAGAAGAACCGCCATCTGTCACTGTAACCTGAGTTTTGAAAGAGAAGGTATGATGCAATAAGAAAGTACACATGCTGTCATCTATGTCATTCCCTGCCCACCCCACAGATATGCAGTTTATTCACTGAGTCATTTCAGCTCTTCTTAGTACTATGATTTCTATAGAATAGATAACATTTTTATAATAGTTAACCCATTAGAGAATGAATCCCTTGAACCAGCAATGGAAGTCATTGCTGGAGGGAAAGTGGCAAAGCAAAGTGGTTCAGAGTTGGGTTGTGCTGCTGAGTCACATTCCATACTCTAGTGACTTTAAAAGGCCAGGTTTATTTTTCTGGAGTCTAGGGGAAGAGGCTAACTCAGTCTCTGAGGTCTTCTGGATAAGCACTTCAATAACCTAGTCAGAGCACAAAGTCCCTCTTTGTGATGCTGTCACCCTGGGGTCTTCATTTCTACATAGGTTTCAGTGGGGGCAAACAGGATGGTCACTGCAAAGGCTCTCTATAGAGTACAGCAGAGGAGAAGAACTGACTTTGCAAAACTCTTGGTTTGTAGAGTCCAAGTCGAAATAAAATATGCCTTCCTAACAGACACAATAGTCATGAAGTCATTATGGTACACTGACCCATACGGGTGTCATCAAATCCACAAGCAAGGCTTTTACCATCTGAGCTCTGCTCTTCTCTCTTTTTTTCCCATCATGCTGTGAGCTGAATTGTTTCCCCTCAAACCTCATGTGTCTGAAGCTCTACTCCTACCTTGGGCCTGTACTGCATGTGGGCTCTTTGAGAAAAGGGGGTGAAGGTCAAATGATGTCATTATGGTAGAATCCTGACCTAACCAGATCCTTCATGAAGGATGGTGCTTGTTATCTCCATCTCTTTTTGTGGTGTGAGTACACAGTGAGATGGTGCAAGCATTGACGAAGCAAAACAACGGCAGAATTTGACATGGGACTTCCTGGTCTCCATATTATTATCTCATTTTGTCTCATGCTCAAATTTTGTTTCCTAAAATAACAATATTAGCAGGTGATGTCTTTGAGTGGCCTTAGTCATTAAAGCTTCACAGATGGAATTAGTATTCTTATAAAAGAGGCTAAGAGTGCTTGTTTAACCTCCTGTTACCCCAGATCATGTCCCGAAAGTTCCATATGTGGAGAATATTCATGGGGCTCTATGTTTGTGTGATCAAGTTTATGTGAAAAAAATGCTTTAGAATGAAACTTTGTGAATGATGAAGTTGCTCACTCATAGTTCCAGGTCATTTGTGAAAACGGAAAAAGGAGCATGAGGAAAAGAATGTAAAGAACCTTCTGGGTCTAAGATGCCCTTGAGTCTCAATAGCTGCTATGCCATTAATAGCCAATGTGTAAGTGGCATAAATGGTCTATAAGGTACAGTTCTGAGAGTGACCTCAGCCACTTCTGTAATATCCTCATCAGTCAGTGGGGCGCGGTTATGTATTTTCATCTTTTAGAGGGGAAAACTGTACACTGAAAGATCTACAGTTAGTGAGTAGCAGAGCTGAGTAATGATGGCCATGTAAGGCTGTTTTAGCCACAAACTCCCGGAAGAGCTTCTACTCAGTCTCTGCATCATTACCTCGAGTTTAATAGCCTAAAATGTGTACTTGGAACCTAAAAGTATGTCTAGAAGAAGCATCAACAGAAACCAACAGTTAACCAGAGAATATCCTTAGTCATTTCTTCATCTAAGAAAGCAACCTGACAGGAATAATGGGAGAAAAGATCAAAATTATTGGAAAACAGATTAAAGTTTCTTTTTCAAAGGGAAATGTAATGAGTTTAGCTTCTCTTACAAGTTGCCTTGGAGGGTAGCTTTAATAGCCTCAGAATAAACTTCTATCAGACTTCTTGCTTTTGTGGAAAAATTAAATCAATGCATTTTTATTCCAATATTGTTTTCTTTCTTATTGGTTTACTGTACTTTACAAAAGAGGTGCTTGAGCTATTTCCTGGGCTTGTGAGTTCTGAAGGGACATGTCGTATCTTGCTCAGTGCTCAGATTATACTCCAGGTGAGCTGAGTTGGCCCAGACTAACTGCTTGACTGGTCATTCTGCCTCTTCCCTGCTTGGACAGCTCTTTTCAAAGTCAAGGAAGGTCTTACTGATTTCACTGGGCCTCAACCTCCTCTTCACTGGCTGTTAGTTTGTATCATGCAGGGAATTCTGAGGCTGAACATAGCTGAGGACAGAGCCCCTCCTTGCTCATTGGAGTATCCTGCCGCTTAGAAACAGCTCTCTTTTGTGGCAAAAATTTCCCTGCCCCTTTTGTTTGTTTCTTTGTTTGCTTGCAGCAAGAGGCCTATGATTGGACAGGAAAAAGGGAGGAGGAGTTAAGGGTGGCAAAGAGGGGGTGGTGCACAGAGAAGCAGGAGAGAGTAAGTGAGGCGAAATGGTGAAATGGCTGCAGACAAGGACCTGCATGGCATCAAGTAAATTGGTAGATGTGAAATCTAAAGGTTAGAAATACTTGGTCGGTCTGCTCCCGTCCTGTTGAGAAACTGAATCCTGAGTCATCCA